GAGTTCAGATTTTTCCAACTCGAGCGGTAGACGCGAAACGCGCGTATGCACAAAATGCAACACAAAAACTCACGTGTGTGGTTTTATTCGCGAGTCAAACGCGCCAGACGTGCTACACTGATGCGCACTTCATGCGTTTTCGCATTTTCGCGACAAAATCTGCTTCCGAATTTTCGCGGGACCTGCAATCACGTGTCATTGCGCTTTTCCATTGACTTTACATGTAAACCTGACGCTCTATTCGCGTCCATCGCGTTCGGTGTGAACACACCATTACACTGCCCTAAATAAATATCTTAGAAATATGGTGTTCAACCAAATAATCTGGATAACATTACCTTGGTGTCCAGTAATACTGTGAGGAATCAATGATTTTTGACCAGGTATGCCCTTCAATGTGTATATTACACAGGTATGTAGAACTGCATTACATTTCTGCAACTTCTCAACACTTAGAAACATCCTGTCTCAGAGGGATGATGAAAAACTAGTTCATTCATTTATTACTTCTAGGGTGGACTACTGTCAATCATTATTATCAGGTAGCCCTAAAGACTTCCTGACTCCCAGTAGATGTCTTTGACTAGACTGCCGGCTTACTTGTGGTTCCTAGAATGTTTAAAAGTAGAATGGGAAGCAGAGCCTTCAGCTTTCAGGCCAATCTTCTGTGGAACTAGTTCCCAGTTTGGAGTCAGGAGACAGATACCCTCTCTACTTTCAAGATTAGGTTTAAAGCTTTCCTTTGATAAAGCATATGGTTATAGCTGGATCAGGTGACCCTGAATCCTCCCTTAGTTGTGCTGCAATTTTTATTAACTGTGTGTTTATATACCAATCTGCATTTAATCATTAGTTATTATAATTCTTGGACTCTCTTCCATACCGAGTCTTTTGTCACTATGGCTCTGCATCGGGGTCTGGATCTGCTGGAGGTTCCTTTCTTCCAACCTTCAGTGGGTGGACCGAGGTGGACACAGTTTTTAATATCCTCAGGGAAGAGGTTGTCATGGAACGAGTCGTCGTCAAACACCACTTCATAGAACTTAGCTGTGGTTAGCACCACATTTGCTCTGGTAATAATGGCCATTCTTGTATTTACAGATCAGTTTCTGACCCACTGCCAGCTCCTGCATGGCAGCTTTGCTGCGCTGAGGTATGGCTGGTGCTCTGTGTCTGTGGCTAACAGGACTTTGTCTCTTTGCAAGCATCTGCACAGACAGCATGCTAACACAAAGCTAGCCAAGAACCCAGAATGATGTTAAAGCTGAGTGTATGCTGACTTCAGCCTAGCAGCCAGAGCCTGATCTTGAGCAGGTAACAAAGGCAGTGATAAGCAGTCAAGCCTTTTATCACCTTTTACCTATTCATGTTCCTAAAGCAGAATCACTACAGTGATTGCTTTGAAGTCTCTTTGGGCTGTTTTTCCAACTTTGCTTTGATTTGTTAGTTTTATGTTCAAACATAAACAACAAAACAAAGACTGTATGTGTGTTCTCAATATGAGAGGAATTTGTGCTGTTGTGAATGGTAAATGGACTGATTCTTATATAGTGCTTTTCTAATCTCCTGGAGTACTCAAAGCGCTGTATACAACATGCCGCATTCACCCATACACACCCACTCACACAAGCACTCTATGCTTTGTCAGTACTTTCTAACTAATATACACTCATACGCATTCATACTCAGATGGATGCTTTGGAGAGCAAGTGGGGGTTAGTATCTTGCCCATGGATATTTGGTATTCAGACTGGGGGAGCCAGGAATCGTCTGACCTGCTCTACCTCCTGAGCTACATTACCTACAGGGTGGGCCATTTATATGGATACACCGTAATAAAATGGGAATGGATAGCAATATTAAAGTTCTGTTTGTGGCACATTAGTATATGTGAGGGGGCAAACTCCTCAAGATGGGTGGTGACCATGGTGGCCATTTAGAAGTCGGCCATCTTGGATACAACTTTTGTTTTTTCAATAGGAAGAGGGCCATGTGACACATCAAACTTATTGGTAATGTCACAAGAAAAACAATGGTGTGCTTGGTTCATCCATCCATTCGCTTCCGCTTATCCTTTTCAGGGTCGCGGGGGGCGCTGGAGCCTATCCCAGCTGTCATAGGGCGAGAGGCGGGGTACACCCTGGACAGGTCGCCAGTCTGTCGCAGGGCCAACACACAGGGACAGACAACCATTCGCACTCACATTCACTCGCACATTCACACCTAGTGGCAATTTGGATTATCCAATTAACCTATCCCCACAAGCTGCATGTCTTTGGACGGTGGGAGGAAGCCGGAGTACCCGGAGGGAACCCACGCAAACACGGGGAGAACATGCAAACTCCACACAGAAAGACCCCGGCCTGATGGTGGAATTGAACTCAGGACCTTCTTGCTGTGCGGCAACAGTGCTAACCACGGTACCACCGTGCTGCTTGGTTTCAACGTAACTTTATTCTTTCATGACTTATTTACAAGTAACTTTGTTCACAGCCATTGACATGTTGAAGTGGTTAACACGTGAGGAGCGGATCGAAATTGTGTTGATATCTGGTGAACGCAGTAACCGGGTCATTGCAGCAGATTTCAATGCAAGACACCCTACGAGACCACCCATCTCCCATGCTACAGTTAGCAAACTGCTTGCTAAGTTTCGTGAAACTGGTTCAGTGTTGGATTTGCCAAAATGTGGACGCAAGAAAACTGTCACTAATGAAGAAACATCAGTGGCTGTCCTAGCTTCATTCAGCAAGAGCCCACAGCGTAGCACTCGCCGCATGTCACTGGAGAGTGGCATTAGTCGAACATCCCTTCGGCGGATATTAGCTACTCACAAATGGCACCCTTACAAACTCCAGCTACTGCAGCATCTCAACGAGGATGACCCAGATCGGCGCACAGAATTTGCAGAATGGGCAAAACAAAAATTGGAACAGGACCCTCAGTTCACGCAGAAGATTTTGTTCAGTGATGAGGCAAACTTTTATGTGAATGGTGAAGTTAACAAACAAAACCACCGCTATTGGTCTGACACTAACCCACATTGGATGGATCCCTCCAAGACTGTTGGAACAACAAAAGTGATGGTTTGGTGTGGTATATGGGGTACAACGATAGTGGGTCCATTCTTCATCAATGGAAACCTCAAGGCCACTGGATATTTGAAATTGCTACATGATGATGTGTTTCCCTCTTTATGCACTGAAGCTGGCACGTTCCCTGAGTTTTTCCAGCAAGATGGTGCACCACCACATTATGGGTGCCAGGTCCGAGCATTCCTAGATGAACAGTTTCCTGGAAAGTGGATTGGTCGTCGTGGGCCAGTTGAATGGCCCCCAAGGTCTCCCGATCTGACCCCCTTAGACTTTTATCTTTGGGGTCATCTGAAGGCAATTGTCTATGGTGTGAAGATACGAGATGTGCAGCACCTGAAACTACGGATACTGGATGCCTGTGCTGGCATTTCTCCTGCGGTGTTGCTATCAGTGTGTGAAGAGTGGGAGAAGAGGGTTGCATTGACAATCCAACACAATGGGCAGCACATTGAACACATTTTATAAGTGGTCAGAAACTTGTAAATAACTCATGAAAGAATAAAGTTACGTTGAAACCAAGCACACCATTGTTTTTCTTGTGACATTACCAATAAGTTTGATGTCTCACATGGCCCTCTTCCTATTGAAAAAACAAAAGTTGTATCCAAGATGGCCGACTTCTAAATGGCCACCATGGTCACCACCCATCTTGAGGAGTTTGCCCCCTCACATATGTGCTACAAACAGGACTTTAATATCACCAACTATTCCCATTTTATTATGGTGTATCCATATAAATGGCCACCCTGTACATTACCATGAAATGGTAATTATGTTTCAGTGCATTTCAGGTCATTTTAGTGAATAATACCAAAGTAATAGTGTAAAGACTTATCTTGTTCTTCTTAATTAATAATGGTTTAATTTACTATCCTTGCATAGTGAGTTTCAGTTTCTTTTTTCTGGGCAAAGGTTTCTGATTCCAAAATGTAAAACAACAAGGTTTAACAAAAAGGAACAGATAAAGGAACCTGAAGCGGAACCTTTGTTTTGAGAGCAGACTTTATAAATTAACAGCATTTCAAATTAGTTCATCAAGAGAGGGTATCTTCATGGAAGTTCAAACTTTATGCTAATGACTTTTAAATATGAGGTTATGGTTAGCATCCCATTGCAACTATAAATTTTGGCAATTTGTTTGTAATTCTCAGTTGTCCTGTGAATATTCTGCATTAATACATGTTCACAAAAACATGATGACTAAAGTCTTCCTAAATGCTCTAAATACCTTCGTATGTGCTTATTCAGGCAGCCGGATGGATGAATCGTCAGATGTGGAATCAGAGCCTGACCTTCCACTGAAGAGGAAACAGCGTAGGAGTCGGACTACTTTCACAGCAGAGCAGCTGGAGGAGCTGGAGAAGGCTTTTGAAAGAACACATTATCCTGATATTTACACTAGAGAGGAGCTGGCCCAGAGAACAAAACTTACTGAGGCCAGGGTCCAGGTAATGCATTAGTATTCAACTATCCATTAATCCATAGATCTCTCCAGCCACACGTTACACCCTACATCTGTCTATTTTTCATTCCATCCTTGATCTCTTTTTTTTTTTAAACATTAAACCCACAAACAAAGACACACTTACTCATTTCAAATGTTGAAACTCACTACTTGAACTGAGGGACTGATAGAGAGCATCTCTATAAGAACATGAATAATGTTTTTTATTGAGAACCCGTGTGTCGTCGAACACAATGCTGCAACATTCTCAGTAGATTAATTAGTAAAATATTTGCTTTTTTAAAATCACACAGACTGGTTAGAACCTTTACTGCTGACTATGCAGCATTCTACTATATTCTACTAACTTGCTGTACTATTCAGAAGTCTTGAGCCATCACTTGTTTCTTTATATTTTGCTTTTAATGAGCAAGACTGTCCAGTCATTTTTAAAAATGAGCAAAGGTTTTTCAGGTTTCTGGAAACCTTCCAAAGTTTTTTTTTTTATTTTATTTTTTTTAAATTCTCTTTAACTAATTTTTCCTATTCCATTGAACATATTCAGATGTGTTTTGCATGCTAACTCTGACCTATGTGTCATTCAAACATAAAAAGGCACCTAATTCAAAGGATGAACCAGTGTTGTGTCTGTCGGGTTTGCCAAATGGCACAGTAACAGAACCCAGTCACAAGACTTCCTGAACAGTTACAGTAAGGTTATTTACAGTGAAAAAACAAGGTGTGCAAAACAGTTCCAACAAAATGTGATTTTCTCAGTGGTGGGGCAATTTCTCCCAAACACACTCTCCACAGTTCTTTCCGAAATATTTACAAAAACCTTGGTGCTCTCTCCAAAACTCTCCATGGCTTAGTTTCCTTCACTAAGAGAAACACAACAAGATCACTTCTTTGGATGAGCCAGGGTTCAACTAACTATTGTCACTCAATGATGCAGTGTTGATTGAAGCTCAACCGCTCTACTAAATAGTGCCCTTTGACGGGAACATCAGCGGCATATGTATGATTGCCAGCAAGTGTATGTGGCTCAAGAGTGGGAACTTCTTCAAGGTCCCAATGCTGCAAAAAGAAAAGAACACCACACACACACACAGAGGAGGGCGAGAAAGAGGGCTTGAGGTGGAGGGAACCCCACCCCCGAAATGGCAGGTCAGGCCAGCAAAGACAGAGGGACCTCATGGTCCCTCTGTCTTTGCTGGCCAGTGTCAATACATAACAGACAACTTAACAAAGACCGAATTTTAAAATGTTCTAAGGAATATGATGATGAAATAAAAACAATGAACAAACTAAGTAGCTTGTTACAAAAATACATTATTTTCTTTCATATCATTGTGTTAATGATAACACAGGTTGGCAGGTGTAAAATTGTATTTTTGCACCAAGAAGGTTATGATTAAAGATCGGTTTGCTCACCAGCTTGCTTTGGAGTGAATCCTTAAAAAATGAGGAAACTGGACAACTAGAGTACAAAAAATAGGACGTCTTAAAAGGAATCTAAAGTAGATGAAAGATATAAGAAATGTCCATAACAGGATAAAATGACCTGACATAGGACCTGAGAGATAGTTCTGGTCCTTCAGTTGATTCATCTATTGCTCAACAAAGGTGATGGTCAAGAAGCCATTTATAAGGAAGGGAAAGTGGGAGAGAATGTTCTGGTATGCCACATTAAAGAAGAACTACTGGCTGCATTTCAATTATGAATGCAGAAAAGTACTGTCAGATTTTGACCCCGATGCAAAGTTTCTGATTGGCATGGCTGCCAAAAACAGTTCAAGCTGTGATGAACAATAAAGTTGGTCATAGAAATACTGACTTTTAATCTCATGAGAATTGTACAAACTCTGTACTTTCAAGTATGTTTGTTTTCAGTACATCACTGTACATTTCCCATATTCTTAGCAAAATATAACGAAATGAGGTGTGAGACTTTTTCACAGTGTTTTATATATTTGTTCAGTGTGCAAGACTAACTCTCTCTAACTTCTGGAGACTCTGCCAGCTGTTCACATCTCCACTAAGGAAACTGGCTTTGGTCTCTGTTTGACAGCTTCACAGTGCCTCAGTTGTGTTTGGGAAAATATTGTAGAGTTCTAACAACAGCTGTAAGTTTTCAGCAGTAGGGTGGGTGCTGCATTCCTCTTGCATGTCTCACTCCCAGATTCTTGGCTGGAATTTGTTTTTCCCACCAGTTTAGAGTCTGCCACTCATTGTAAAAATCAGAGCAGATCATGGAAGTCTTCGCTCTCAGGGGAACTTTAAGCCATAACTGCAAAGTGGCTCAATCAAGTCACAGAAAAATGAGAAAATGAGAAACCAGCGTGGCATGGAAACTCCTCCAAGCCTGCCACTTAGGTCATAAATGCCGACCTCAGAATTATCTGTATGCCTCGACTTGACAATGGTCATTTTACGTCCATCCTACTCACAGAATAAGTTACTGGAGTACAAATTTAAAAAAAAAAAAAAATCCAACTCAATGCCCACCTTCTAACTTGCTTTGAAGCTAACTATTTCTCATTCATGTTGACAAAATTTGTAACTTTGGATTATGGCACAGTTAAGTAGGCCTAGTTATAACTTTACACTACATTTGAATACTATTTCTGTGTCCTTAAGCTGAGGCCATGGAAGGTTTCAAAAAATATATTAATATTAAATACTGTATGGTAGAGATATAGTGATGGGAAACAGAGAACTGCAAAGACTGTAACTAAAAAATATTTGTGGTGTGTCAAATCAAATCATTGTTTCAGTACTACTTAATGTATAAACATGGAGAAACAAAAAATAAAACCAGTTATAGTCAGCTTGAATGATTGTCACTGAAATTACTGATTTTGCATGGTTGCAATTAGCAACCCATTTTGTTCTAAAAACATCTATTATAGTTGGTCAGAATCATTGGAAATGAACGGGGTTGTGCCTATGGAATCCATGACACACCCACGTTTCTAGTACTGGTCCTTTTATGTGGACTTTGTAAGAAATTACACAGTGATTCCACTTCAGAATAGGACCACCCTCATTACAGACCAATCGGGTGCCTGCTTCTTTAACTCTTTTCAGTGTACAAACTACCATGTAATCAGTAGCTGGAAGACAAGTAAAGACAGACATAATGTCGTAAGAGACACTTATTTCTTCTGCCCTCACAGCATCTTTCCCTTTCTCCACAAACTTCAAGCCAGGAACTTTGAGGTGTTGGAGGTAACTGATTGATCACACTGACAATGAACTTTAAAAATACCCCCTCATTTAGGTATCACTGGTACACCATACTGACTCGGTATAGTTTCCCTTGGGTATAATCTGTTGCATGAGATGTGATCAGAAGCATTGTCTGTTTTCAAGTGCATCAGACAGTCTGTGATACTGGAGGTTGGGGGCCTTGTGTTGCTAAGACAGGCTGGCACTTTCCTCTGCAGTTGCTCTGTCTCTGCATCCACAGTGTTGTTCTTTTGGATTACTGAATCTGTGGCTGTAATTAGTTCCAAATGCGAGATTTTTTTGATTTGACATCAAAATTAAAATCGTTCAAAAGGATTGCTTTCTCTGCTTGAGTTAGTTATCTGTCAGATAATTTCTTCTTCCACTTGTCCACATTCTTGGAGGGAAGCATTCATCTCTTCACCAGCTGTTGAGGTCAATTCAATTTAACTATCCATCCTTCCATTTTCTTCCACTTATCTGGGGTTGGTTGAGAGGGCAACAGCCTAAGCAGAGAAGCCCAAACCTTCCTCTCCCCAGCCGCCTTCTCCTGGGAACACCAATCCAAGGCCAGCTGATATGGTAAATGGTAAATGGCCTGTATTTATATAGCGCTTTACTAGTCCCTAAGGACCCCAAAGCACTTTACATATCCAGTCATCCACCCATTCACACACATTCACACACTGGTGATGGCAAGCTACATTGTAGCCACAGCCACCCTGGGGCGCACTGACAGAGGCGAGGCTGCCGGACACTGGCGCCACCGGGCCCTCTGACCACCACCAGTAGGCAACGGGTGAAGTGTCTTGCCCAAGGACACAACGACCGAGACTGTCCAAGCCGGGGCTCGAACCGGCAACCTTCCGATTACAAGGCGAACTCCCAACTCTTGAGCACGATTATCTTTAAAGGCTTGATTCACTAGCTGGGCCCACATCCTCATTTTAGGTTTGACAGTGTTTTAGTAGGTAAGATAAGATAAGATAAGATAAGATAAGATAACCTTTATTAGTCCCACACGTGGGAAATTTGTTTTGTCACAGCAGGAAGTGGACAGTGCAAAAGTTATGAGGCAAAAATTAGAATACAATAAGAATAAATACAGTACACAACTGTACAGAATAGAATAAAATAAAATACTATATACAGTAGAATAAAATAAAATAAATATACAATAAGATAAAAATAGAATACAAATACAAATACTATATACAACTGAGTAAAAATACAACGATGACAGAAAGGATTATTGCACTTAGTATTATTGCATATGTATGGATGTGTGTGCTTGATCAGTTAAAGTCTTTATTATGGAGTCTGACAGCAGTGGGGAGGAAAGACCTGCGAAATCTCTCCGTCCCACACCGTGGGTGCCGCAGTCTCCCACTGAAGGAGCTGCTCAGTGCTGTCACAGTCTGCTGCATGGGGTGGGAGATGTTGTCCAACAGGGATGACAGCTTAGCCGCCGTTCTCCTGTCACTCACCACCTCCACTGGGTCCAGAGGGCATCCTAGAACAGAGCTGGCCCTTCGGATCACCCTGTTCAGTCTCTTCCTGTCCCCAGCAGAGATGCTGCCGCCCCAGCAGACCACGCCATAAAAGATAGCAGAAGCCACAACAGAGTCATAGAAGGTCTTCAGGAGTGGGCCCTCCACTCCAAACGACCTGAGTCTCCGCAGCAGGTACAGCCTGCTCTGCCCTTTCCTGTAGAGGGCGTCTGAGTTATGAGTCCAGTCCAGTCTGTTGTTCAGATGAACACCAAGGTACCTGTAGCTGTCCACAGCCTCAATGTCCATACCTTGGATGTTCAGTGGTTGCAGTGGAGAATGCTTGTGCCTGCGGAAGTCTACCACCAGTTCCTTGGTTTTACTGGCGTTGATCTGGAGGTAGTTCAGCTGGCACCAGTCCACAAAGTCTTGGGTCAGTCCTCTGTACTCCTTGTCGTCCCCATCAGTGATGAGGCCGACTATTGCAGAGTCATCAGAGAACTTCTGCAGGAAGCACTGGGTGGAATTGTGGGAGAAGTCTGCAGTGTAGATGGTGAAGATCAGGTGGTGGTGGTCAGAGGGCCCGGTGGCGCCTGTGTCCGGCAGCCTCGCCTCTGTCAGTGCGCCCCAGGGCAGCTGTGGCTACAATGTAGCTTGCCATCGCCAGTGTGTGAATGTGTGTGTGAATGGGTGAATGACTGAATGTAGTGTAAAGCGCTTTGGGGTCCTATGGACTAGAAAAGCGCTATACAAATGCAGGCCATTTACCATGAAGAGGAACGGAGCCAGAACCGTTCCCTGTGGGGCCCCCGTACTGCAGACGACCCTGTCCGACACACAGCCCTGAGTCCTCACATACTGTGGTCGGTCGGTGAGGTAGTCCAGGATCCAGGTCTCATTCCACATCTATGCATCCTTGCATTAGAAAGCAATCCAAAGATATCATGTTAAAATGATGATAGGTCATATTCTGTTTCCTTTCCGTCACGTCTCTTCTACAGAGGTAGTCAGACCGTATGATCTACTTCTGTGGTTTTTGCACAAGTACCTCAAGGCAACAACGCCTGCTGTAATAGTTTAAGTCTGCTCTGCAGATATGTCCAAATCAGCTTCTCTACATAAAAGTCACATTTTCATTTGCACTAAATGAAAAAAGAAGATTCCTGGAAAAAGTGGGCAGGTAGAAAGCTGCAAGCAATGCAAAGATTTCTGCTGTGACCCTAGAGATGTGTAGGTGTTAAGTATGCCTGTGTTAAATCATGTGAGTGGTATAGTTTAATTGAAATGAAAACAAACATGCAGGACTAAATGTCAAGAAGAAACAGTGGATAATGAAAAAAAAACTTATTTACTCACAGAAACACACACTACAAACATTTATTTGCTGAAGTTTTACCTTTGAAATGATGGCATGTCCCAATATATTAATGCTTAGAGTAAGTTATATGTCCTGAATCATTTCAGATATTCGGGACAATGAAATATAGGCTTTTGAATGTGGATCTTGCCCTCTGTGTGAAATTTCACAAAAGGACTATCTGTATGTACTTTGTGGTGAGAAAAGGTAAAATTCTCTTTCAGCGGAGAATCTGTGAGACCTAGAGCATGGCATCAGAATAGAATCAATGTAAATGTGCAAATTCTTGCTGATTTTAAATTCAGCTATTCAGCTGACTCAAGAGTTGGGAGTTCGCCTTGTAATTGGAAGGTTGTCGGTTCGAGCCCCGGCTTGGACAGTCTCGATCGTTGTGTCCTTGGGCAAGACACTTGACCCGTTGCCTACTGGTGGTGGTCAGAGGGCCCGGTGGCGCCAGTGTCCAGCAGCCTCACCTCTGTCAGTGCGCCCCAGGGTGGCTGTCTTTACAATGTAGCTTGCCATCACCAGTGTGTGAATGGGTGTGTAACTGGATGTGTAAAGCGCTTTGGGGTCCTTAGGGACTAGTAAAGCGCTATACAAATATAGGCCATTTATCATTTTTGGTGTTTTCCTTCCAGCTTATTTATATATATTTCTCTTTCAAGGTGTGGTTTAGCAATCGAAGGGCCAGGTGGCGAAAACAAGCAGGAGCCAATCAACTTGCAGCATTCAATCACCTTCTGCCAGGTGGATTTCCTCCTGCAGGGATGCCAACACTTCCTACATATCAGCTGCCAGAATCCAACTACCCGACCAACACTCAAGGTAGAACAGATAATCCTTTCACTGACAGATTACAAATGTGACCTAAAGGTTTTCCTAAGGAGTTCGTGGATACTATGCTATTTTGGCCATGTTCTTACCAACAAATAATGATTCATGATAGGCACTTTTACACCTATATTGCTGGGTCTTTTTGTGTGTGTGTGTGTGTGTGTGTGTGTTTTTGACTGGATGCATGGAACAATTTAATGATCAATTTAAGTTTTTCTCTGGAAGAGGTCCTGATATGCCAATAATGTCTTATCTCTAGCAGAAGAAACTGCAGTGTTGTCCTCTATCTAGTACATTAAAGCATATTGCCTCAGAATAAAAGTATTGTTTCAATTATAAGAATGACTTACTAGGTGGTTTCACAGAATAAAAAACTGATTGCAGAGAGTATGCCATTCCCAATTAATGTTAGCGTGTCATCAAAGCACTCACAGAATTAGTACTGTATTGAAAAGCATTAAGAAACTGTATTGTCTACCAACATCAATGCATATTTTGCAGTTTTAACAAAACAAAATCTCCATGCCAGGTTGTTCCTTTGCCCGTCCTCTGCCACTGCTCCAAGGTTTATGAATTTTGGTTTGGTAGATTTTGGAAAAAGCTGAAAAATTCCCAGACAGAGAGAGAGGTGCGATACAACCTGCTGTTGGAAATATTTGTAATTGTAACTATCAAAATGCCAGTCAGGTTTAACCCAGTTTTCCCTGTTGTGTTTAGTTGTAAAGACATCCTAAAGTAGATACAGAAGCCTCCAATTAAGCCTATTTGGTATCACATCCACACTATGCAGGTCTCTGTTCAACATACTGTGGGGCATCATGGTGGTATACTTAAGTTGTCAAACTTGCGTTGTTTATATGTTGGTGTTAAATATATATATGTTCGGGAATGTGTTTTTTCTCATCTGGTATACAGACTGGTAGAACAGGTAGCCTAGCCTAGCTAGTGTCTTATTTACATAAAGGAAGGAACCAATGTGTGAAGTGTTTTACTTTTCAGATGGTGGGGCTACTGTTCACCGTCCCCAACCCTTACCTCCTTCCACCATGCACCAGAGTGGTTTATCAAGTCCTGACGGCAGCACTGCCTATGGTCTGGCAACCAACCGGCACAGCTTCTCCAGCTACACTGATACCTTCATGAACTCTAGTACTCCTAGTAACCATGTCAACCATGTCAGCAATGGGCTATCTCCACAGGCAAGTCCTGCTTTATCGCTTTATGCACGAGGATAAGCATTTACTCAGTCATGAATAAAAATATATAACATGAAAGGACTCTATTCAGTGTATATAATTTATTCTATTCATATTCGTTTGAAAATGCAAGAAAAGAAGGGGATAAGTAGTTGTTAATTCAATATAAATAGGAAATAAAAAAACAAGCCATAGACCAAAATGGATTTTGACATTTAATGCCTTTGATACTTTTAACCAGGAAATTAAAGTCTTTGTCTATCTTTTACTTGATCAACTTGGAGCAGTGATACTTCATACAGCACTGTCATGATTATGAGCTGGAAATAATGCATGTGGGTTCTCACCAACAGTGTTTTAGTCACAGTAGTCTTTTTGTGTTATATATTTTTACAAGACATTCAAGTATATTGTTGCTATGGCTAGAGTAAGTTAGGCAGCTTCCCGCAACATGACCATAGGTAAATATTAATTTCCATTGTGGAAAATAAACATTTTAATTATGGTGTGGAGCCTGATTGTAGTGACACTACAAACCAGATGGCTCTATGGTAAGTTTTAAGCTTAGCATTTCTTGTCACGATCCACAGTACAACAAGTTAGTGTAGATGTTCCAAATAAAATCTTATTTTTAAATATTTCTCATTGAGAAAGTCAACTGAGTGATGTGATACAAAAGGACCTGATATGCAGGCAGGCAATCAACCCCAACTGCTTGGACAAAATACACCCCAGACCCCTGTTCAAGGCATCGGTCTGCAGGATGAAAGTGAGAGAAAAGTCAGGAATGTGGAATATGGGTTCCAAAAATAGACCCCTCCTTACCTGCACGAACACTGGATCTGGGGCACCCTTTCAGGTGAGGTCTGTCATGGGGCTGGTCATCCCTGCCGAGTTCTACATGAACTGACGGTAATACCAGCCAGTCCCAAGAAACTAGTCACCTTTTTTTTGTTCTTGGGGTCTGAGCAGGATGTGATCCCTGCTGCTTTGTCTGTTCTGGGGTGCACCTGCCCTCCTCCCAAAATGGTACCACAGATACTGTACCACCTTCCATCCAACTGCACACTTCTTGAGGCTGGCCGCGAGCTCCGTCTGCCTCAGAGAGTTCAGGACTACGGCCAAACAAATGATACATCGATTAAACTTGTCACTGTTGGACTGAAATGCATTAATGCACTTGGGACACCAGTCAATTACATTGAGACCAAAATGACTCTAAGACTACAATAGTGACTGTGTCCCAATCCAGCGACCGTATGCTTCGGAGTACGCGCAGTTTGTGTACTAGGTACGGCGCGTACTAGGAAGTACGAGAAGTGCGGAAGTGAGAGGCTTGTGAAATGGGACGGTCTAGCCTGCTCAGGTTCCCTAGCAACCATGATACTAACCGCGAGAAACGTTTCATACAGCATTGTTTGACAGAAATGAAGGAGAAAAAATGTTTTGTTGTTCATTCATTTTTATGACATCACTTTGATTAGTTGAGTATCTGAGGCTGAGACCACGGGACTGTAAAAACATAATTGTTGGGCTTCATTTCTGTACTGAACAGTCATTTCAAGATTAGCTAGTAAATAACAATTAGCTAATGTTGTTCATGAGACTAAAATCATCTCACTTTGGTAATGTAAATATAATATGGACAATATTATATTCATTCTCAGATTATTATGATATATTAGAGCAGTGAGCATGAACTCTGTGTCAAATACTGAGCTTCAGTAAAGATTCAAGTTGCATTTATTTAAATTTCCAATCACCTTGAATCTTCACTCAAAAACAAGTATCTTTGACAGTGTATATATAGATGTAATATATATAAGAGACAAATATTGTTCTTTTAATATGTTGGCATTACTAAATTTGGCTCAATGCTTGCATATATGCGTTAAAAGAAAATGTACGAGCTGTGATAACTGTTGCTGGTAGAATGAAGAGTAGACTCATATATTAAATATTCCTTTATTGGGTGAGAAAATCATACCATGTCATAACTGCTTTAAGTCATACAGAATAGATATCAGAGCCTTAAACAGTCTGACTTCTGCTAAATGGGTCAAACTGGGCAGAAAGTATACAAACACATAACATCCCTATAGAATATGATGTAACACTATTGATCAACTTACCTCAGAATATATGAAGCATCTATATATAAAGCAAAATTACAGCAATATGATACAACAAACGCAGCAGTACTACTAATCCAAAATACTCAAAGCTTCATAGAACTGAAACAAACATTTATTTTTAGGTCCATTCTGCTGCTGATACATACTTTAGGTTTCTGAATATTAAACTTGTTTCTGCCTTTCATAGTGTTTAACTTGAAGGCCCTGAGTACTTTCTCCCACACTGAAAACACTGGAATGATAAAATTATTTGAACATTACCTAATAAGACTGATTCAGGACAGACAACAGGACTCTCCATCTGTCAGCTCCTGCTGGCTCTTCCTCCTGCTCTTCCTCATACACTGCTGAGTTTGTCCTGGTGGATCATCAGGGCACAGCACAAGAGAAGGAGGATTTAGTGTTTGTGTTATTACGAGTCAGGCCCGGCCCTAACCAATCTGGCGCCCTAGGCAAGATTTTAGGTGGCGCCCCCCTGCATCGGCAGTGTTAGTGTATGTACTCACAAGAAACCGAATAGCTTTGTCTTTGACCTTTTTTTTTTTACTTAAAGAAAGCAAATTCACAATCAGAATAATTAACAAGATAAAAAAAATATATGAATAAATAAATGAATACAAAAAATAAAAAATGAATATATGAAATACAATAAATTTTACATACATAAACACAATAAAACGTGTCAACAAGTTGGATAAAATAAATTAAAAATACAATATAAATAAGGCAACAGGAACACCGCTTGATGCTGCTGCAAAACTGGTGGGTTGTGCTGCTGAGGTGGAGGCAACAGGAAGACCGCTTGATGCTGCTGCATCATGGCTGGGTTGTGCTGCTGATGCTGCATCACTGGTGGGTTGTGCTGCTGAAGTGGAGGCAGCAGCGGTAGATGTGGTAGATGGCCCAGGGGTGGGATTTAGAAACTTCAACAGTGCATCTGAAGAGAGGAGTATGTGACACCACTGAGTATTAAAGTCTAATAATAAAAACATATGATTCCAGGAATAAAATGAAATGATATAATATAAATGAAAAACCAAAGAGATATATGTATGATGTTAACTGATATGCAAATTAGATTAGATTCAATTTATTGTCATCATTACAGTGAAATGCTGAATAGCAGAATGCAAAGTAACAGTATAATATCATATGAGAATGTTATGTTATGATTATCTTTGACCGAATCACAGCAGTGCTCATATTAAAAAACAGCATTCCCTCTCATGTGATATTGCTTAATTAACATTAATGATGTGCACTTTAACAACTAGGCTTACAACTATAATCTATACAGGGGTGGAAAAGTGACTATTACCTGCAGGGTAAACGTTAGCTAACCAGAAGGCAATAACAATGTAAACAAAAAACACCTGCTTAAAAGATGAATACAAATGAGGAATGGTGGGAAAGGTGGGAGTACTGTAATTACCTAACGTTACATTATTATTTTCCATAACAATTTAGCCCCCTCCACAATATTAACTGACGTTAAAACAGTTAACTAGCTATTTATTGATTAGCAATTAGCGAATCATGTAACATTAGCTTAATGCTAAAAATTTAGGTTACTATCACATTCAGACAAATAATTTCATGTAGGCTAACGTTACCTACCTCTGTCTTTTTCTCGTTTCTCCTCCTCTTCTTTTCTCTTTTTTCTTCCCTGGGCACCTGACAGTTTTGGCCGTTTTGACATCTTGTGTTGATTTTTTGATGTGGTGACGTCCAAAAGGAACCATGATACGGGAAGGGAGGGGGCGCACCGTGCGGGGAGGGGGGGGCGTAATGTTGTAACAAATAATATTTCTATTAAATAAGCTTTACTTTGCATTTTAATTAACGTGGGATTATTTTTTGTATTTAGAAATAATAGTACCAACTTTTTTTTTTTTCAACATTTGTGGCACTGGCGTGGCGCCCCCTGATGGACGGCGCCCTTAGCATTTGCCTATACGGCCTATGCCACGGGCCGGCCCTGTTACGAGTGCTAAACAAGAAGAGCTCCCAGATGGTACAGTGGACACATGTGTGACTCCTGTGATTAAAGCATCTTTCTTTCAGCTTAACGAGTGAACCGTCAGCTCGTTCAAACACACAGTCCGTTTGGCTTGACACCACCAAACAGAGGCAGCAATATAACATAGCTAACATTAACAGTGCAGTGAATCCTGCTTGTGCCGTGATATTCAGGACTGCAAACCGAGCAGCATCACTGACTTTCAGCTTGTTGTGTTTGTGGATATATGACTGACTTTAATTATGTATAAAAACATCACATCTCTGTAAGATTATGGTCAACTATTGAATGGCGTATATTTTTATACCCACTGCCGCGCTATGAATTGTGGAACATATGAGACCACGAAGTGTACACCGGACCACACTTCAAATTTGGGGAAATCGACGGCGCATTGGAGTACACATTTGGAGTACACTTCAGATTGGGACAGCTGTCGTCGTGTCACTGTGACGTAATAGGTCTCAAAATGCGTACTCCAACACAGCTAAAGACTCTTTTAGGAGGTCACAAAAGAACACTTAACAACATATAAAGAACTGCAGGCCTTATTTTGTCTCAGTTAAGATCACTGTTTGTGATTCAACAATAAGAAAGATACTGGGCAAAAATGATATCTATAGTATCCATGGGAGAATGGGCAAAAAAACCACACCGTTGACCAAAAAAGATACCAAAAAGAATACAAGAACTCATCTCACATGACAAAAACAAAACAAACAAACAAAGAAAAACCCCCATCTTAATGAATCTATGGACTAACAAGACAAAGACTTTTAGAAGGCTTGAGACCAGCTATATCTGGCATAAAACGAATACAGGATTTCATAAAAAGAACATCATACCAA